AAATTTTCATTCTCATTTTTCTACTCATTTTCAACCATACATTCTTTAATAAAATAATATTTTACATCACATCAATAACTTTTCCTTCTTTTTCAACCACACATTCTCCATCAATCCACTATTCCAAAATACATTATTCCAAAATAATGTGGCTCAAACACACCATAAATATAACAATTCAAAAATTAATTAAATAACCCTACACAATTTCAAACATCTCTCTCTCTAACCCTCCTGTCATCGTCCTCTTTCTATGCCCTCATAGGCAATGAGGGGTTGCACGTGGCGCATCATGGGATTTTTGGAAAGGATCGGTGCCGGTCAAAAGCACGACATAGATCGGCTATGGATCGAGAGATGCAACTGTTCGCAGCGAAGCACCGGTTGTGTTTGTTCGCAGAGCTGCAGATCAGGTTTCCAACATTTTTTCTCTATTAACAGGTGGTTGTGATTGTAGTTTTGGTTGTGGTTGTTGATTGTTGGGTGGTTGTGAGAGATTTCGATAATGTCTTTGGGGTGTGTGTGTGGGATTCCGATGGCATAGGTGGTGAAGTGGTAGTGATGGCGAGTCATATTCAGGCGAGATCAAATACAAAGCAGAGTGTTACAGATCGAGAACCTGCATCGCCACTTTGAGTGGCGTGAACGCCACCACTGCCGTGAATGATGGGGATCTAAGAAAAATTTGGCTACAATTTGGTATCGGAGTTTTGTTGGTCGTGTGAGTTTTATTGGTTGCGATATGGGGAAAATTTGGTCACGATCTAGTGCCGAAAAATTTGGGGTGAGTTTTGTTGGTTGTGTGCAGTTGGTGGTGGTGGTGGTGGTGGTAGTGTAGCGGTGCTCTAAGATGACGACGATTTTCATAAGTTTTGTGGTAGTGCTGATTTTTTTTGGATGATTTTTGTTTGTTGCGATTGTTGTTGGTGGTGGTGTCGATGTCAGTGGTGGTTGCTGGTTGTGGTCGTGGGGTGGTCATCGCAGTGTCAATGGTGGTGTGGCTGTTGTTGTGGATTTAATTTGTTGGTTTTGTTGGGCGACGGTAGCAACGATTTTGTTAGATATTGTTGGTGGTGGTGGTTTTGGTGGTAGTTGTGGTGATGAGGAGGTGGTGGTGGTGGTGATTTTGAAGTGGAAAATGGTAGTTATTCGAAGTGGTGGTGCCTGGTGGATTGGGGCATGTAGTGAAATTAAGAGGGTTTGTGACCAATTATTTGAAATTGTGACCATTAATTTGGGTATTTCGCGACTAAAAAATAACATATGACCAATAAATTGTGACCAAGTAATAATATGCGACCTAAAAAATTGAATTGTGACTTATGAAATTTGTGATTTGTGACCGATAAATGAATTTGTAACCAAATTGTATAAAAATGTGACCAAGTTGTGACGTATAAATTTTTTTATTTGTGACCGATGAACAAATTGTGACTTATAAAATTCCTGAATTGTGACCGTAAAATAATTTGTGACCTATAAAATTTCTGATCTGTGACCGATGAACAAATTGTGACATATAAAATTTTTGAATTGTTACCGTAAAATAATTTGTGACGTTTCAATTTTTCATTTGTGACCGATGAACAAATTGTTGTGATTTGTGACTAATTAATAATATGCGACCAACTTATATGAAATTGTGACTTAATATATTTAATTAATAAAATATAAGTTTAATCATTTTATTTATAAATAAAATTTAAAAAAATCTGGTATTTGAAATTTTAAACCTTAAAAAGTCTGAAATTTGAAATTTTAAACTTTATCTCTTAAATTTGAAATAGGTGAAATTTAACCTCTTAATTATGAAATTTTCCTTAATCATAGATTCATAATCCAAATTACATTTGAATTTTCATCACAAGTATACGTGAAATTCATGTATACTTGATCAAGAAAATTAAATGCTTCTTAAAATGTCTGTGCTATTTGATCAAGAGAAAAATGGATCTTGAACCTTGTTGATAAGGGTTGAGTTGGACACTTGCATAATGAAGAGAGTAAAATCTTTTATGATCTCAATTTCAGATGAGATAAGAATGATACATAGTTTGATGCAGGAATGTATTGTACTCGCATCAAGATTGTAGACGTGGTGCCCATGTACTCCATCAAATCATGAGCGTTCTGTGGTTGCAGTCGCCATTCCAAAGTGAATCGCCAGATCTGGGTCTACGCCAAATACTAAGCATGTTAGTAGTATAGATTTATTTTTTATTTTTTCATGATATTTAAACATTTATTAGATTATTATTATTTTTTTGAATTAGAAGTTTCGTCCAGGAATTTTTTTCTACGTAATAATTTTTTTGCAATTCTATTTTTGTAATGATGTACATTTAAAATATTTTTCTCGTAATAAAATCCTAGTTTTTCGAATTTCATAAATATTTTGGTTTCAAATTAAAATTTTTATATAGGGGAGGAAAATATCAGGAATAACAGGCATGTCTAACTCTTCTAGTAGCGGCCAAAACATTTTTTTTTTGCAGGCTTTACTTTAACCTTCACTTTGTACCAATCACAGTCTTAATGGATGAATTCTGTTAATTTGAGTTGACCCCAAAAATAAAAATTTGACTAATTTTGACCTAATTAAGAAAGGTATAGTGGTGAAATTATATTTTTTTCATAAAAACGTGATAATTAAATTAAAATTTTAAAATAATAAATCTGCACCCACTCCCTAAAACCCACCCCCCAAACTACTACTACTACTACTACTTCTTCTCCTTCTTCATCTTCTCTACCCCACCCCCACCAACCCATTGAGCAAAGAGTAATATTATTCATCCCCAGTAGGGATGAAAACACAGTTTAGGTGGCTTTTAATGATAGGTTAAATGAAAGGTGAAATTAAATGACTTATTTAATTTCAACTATCATTCAATACCACATTAACGCCACATAAACTGTATTTTCATTCACAGTGGGGATGAATAGCATTACTCTTGAGCAAAACTAGTCGCCATCACATTCTTCCCCAACCATTCTTCATTTTTCTCCGTTTTCTTCCACCAAATCAAATCCATCTTCTTGGAACAATTTTCAGTTCTCAAACTTCAAAATTGCTCGAAAATGGTGGAAGTTCTAGGATTTTTAATCCGCACAATTTTTGGATGAAAGTCCTCCATCGGAAGGTGGTCAAGAGTCCAAGTGGTTGAAGTCCAAGTAAATGGTGCCCAAAAAAATTAAAGCTTCAGGCTTCAGCAATAATGGTGGAAGTACTAGGATTTTTTTCCAAGTGTTTATGTTTGTACAATTTGGTTTGTTGGAGTTTTATGCTTTAGATTCTAAATACCAGGTGAAGGAGAAAAAATAATGGCTATGTTGTGGGTCTTGTGTCTGAGTGTGTTGGAGGTGTTTTGTTATGCATTACTGCTCAACTTGAAGGAGTTTTGGTGGATGTCGTTGGCAGGCGACAATCGGTGACAGGGCTGATTTTTTGGTTGGGTTTAGGAGGCGGGTGTGAGAAGGAGAAGATGAACGGTGATTTTGTTTTTATTTTTTTTAGTTTTTTTTATTTAATTTAGTTTAAAATTATTATTTTACCCCTTTAAAATTGATCAAAGTCAATTTATTGGGCCATCTAACAGTCAAATTAACAGAAATCATCCATTTGGACCCTAAATGCTAATTGTTCAAAGGTTTGGAACTGTAGATGACATAAAGTAAAACTTAAGGTAAATCTACAAGAAATAAAAGAGTTTGAAATCGCTGCTGCAATTATCCCTATAATATTATACCTTTAGCATCTATATAAATGTCCCAGCAAAGAATATTCATCCCAGGATTTCAACATCACAAAAGTTAAGCTCAGTATAACTTTTAGTTGACTCCATCTTTTCAGGAGTATACTTTTGAATGCAAAAACCAGTGGACAAAAAAATTGAAGAAAAATTGATCAAATCGAATAGAGTCAGGTCGATTTGAACCAAAAAATCGGTTAATTTTAACCATTAAAAAGTCGGGACCAGTTAGTTGTAATTTAAGCAACCAATCCGTCAATTAATCGACCCAACCCGCTAATTTTTTTATTTTATTTTTTTATCATTTTAAAATTCAGATTTTTAAACTTAAAAATGTAAGAATAAAAACATAAAAACAATTATTTCTCAAATAATTTATTTGTGATCTATATCTCTCATACCAACCTCCAAATTCCAAAAGAAAAGTAAGGATAAGAATTGTTTGTTGTAAACTCCAAATTCAAAAACTATCGAATATATATGATCATTTTGGAAAAATCAACCATTTACCATGTATATTATATATAATTTTGATATGCACTATGCAAGCAAAAATAAATAAATAGGCAAACCAATTTTTTAATCCAAAATAGGTAAGGAAATTTATTTATTTTTTATATCATATCAATGTTTAAACCGACTAACTAAACAAAATCGACCCAAACTGATTTGATGCAATTCAGTTCGATTCAATTTCAACAATTGAATTGAATCTATTTGGATTGAAATTACACAAATCGACCAAGTTGGTTTCAATTTCGGGTTGCACCCAAAATCAACCTAAAATAGTAAAAGGTTTCTTTCATGAAAAGTTATCTTAAGAAGAAGAAAAGTATGCTTTCATTCAGGGTTTCAAGATGCAAAACCAGGCCTTCAATGCATGCACATCCTAGGTTGCCTCCTTCAGGCACCATTAACAGCAAATCATCAATATAAAAAATCATCCGTTCTTTCTACTACTCCTTCAAATAAGCATCAGTGCATGGTATCAACAGACCAGTCCTCTTAAATCGAAGATCAGAATACGTGCCCTTTTGTAAAGCATGGAGAGCCTGATCAGGCAAACAAGGTAACTCTCGAATTCTTTGTTGATGATTCACTAACACGATCACGTATATCCCACACAACACTTATTGGATACGTCAAGACGTGATTTTCATAAAAATAAAAACACGATATGCACCCATACATGTTGATTAAATTCTTTTAAAAAATTCATTTATATAGTATAATTTTAATTTTATATTTATCATTATTTTTTCTTGTTGAGTCTTTTTAAATAACCGTATATATTTATTAATAAATGAATTAAAACAATATATTATTACTGTCAAAGAAAGAAATTTTTGAGGGAGTATCGGTATCAGACATGACATGATACGACACGTGTCGAATGCGGGCATACACTCTAGTCAAAAAGTCCGTGCAACACAGATTCAACTGCAGAAATTAATAACCTGGTATCCAAAAATTATGTTATGCACCTCTTCTTTTCTTTCCTTATTATTATTATTATTATTATTTATTTTATTTATTTTTTGCAAAACAATAAACATAATCAATGGCTGCTTCTAGACTGTTACAGAAGAGAGTTGTTTTGGATTTCAATTTCTTCTTTCCATCACCTCTAATCGCTTCTGTAGAGCAAGATTTTCTGGTGCAGGAAAGGAAAATAAAGAAGAGAGCAGCAGTGCGCGAGAGAGAAAAATACCACCTCAAAAAACGCAACCCTTCAGAGGTATATTTGAACTTTTCACACTTCTGCATATAACAAAAATCAAATAGGGGAGGAGAGAAGATTCTCCTCATAAAAATGACTATAAGAAGTCAACAAGAAAATCGTCACTAAGCTAACACATCAATTTACAATTTGCTACCCAGTGGAAAAATCATTAATTAAGTAGATGAAACAATGAAATACTAGTAATGAGTTCTGCAGAGAAAAAAAGAAGCGAAAGCTGGATAAGAAGACGATTCTTCAGACAAACAGATGTGGAACGTGATTTTGGTAGTGATGAGTACGCTGCCGCCATTGCAGCAGCTGCTTTGGCTATTCAATCACTTGAAGAATCGAGAACTAGGGATCAGAAAAAGACAACGCACGGCCCTGATACATCCTTAGTAAAGATGAAGAGCAAAGCAGAAGATAAAGGAAATTTATCTGAACCACACAAAGAATCAATAAAATTCTCAGGTATGTAAATATGGAGAAAAACAGCACCAAATATAATTTGAAGTCTAAAAAGGTTCTGATACAATGTCATTTTTGTGGTATGAATGAATTGTCTATCAGACGAAACTTCAGAGACGAGTTCAAAAGATACAGATGTAAAGGCACCAATAAGCACCTCGGCAAGTAAAAAGATGACTGAAAAGGAAGTTGGCCATGCACCATCCATCAAGAAGAAGCCAACTTTTTCTTATGCTGATCCTAACAATATAATAATCAACAGCATACCTGAAATAGCCTCGCCCGAGAAGGCTGCTGAACCTGTGCCATCCATGGGAAGGCATCCAACGTCTGAGGATAAGCAAATAAACATCAGAGGTGGTCAAACTTTGGAAAGCATAATGCGAATTCCTGATCGTCCTCCCACCATACAAACGACGACACATCCAGTTGAGACTAAACAGCAGACTCCGACTAAACCAGGACCTGGAGATGCTGAGGCAGATGCTTGGGAAAAATCTGAGATGGCTAGAGTTAAAGAAAGGTACAGAGTTATTTCCAACTAGTGGGAGAGTTAAATCAATACCCCGTGTGTGTGACTGTATTTGTTTGTAAAATTATTGCTAAAATTTTTCCACCAGTTTTTTGAATTTAATGAAACGAGTTTCAGGTATGAGAAGCAAATTACTACTATTCAAAACTGGGAGACTAAGAAGAAGAAGAAGGCAAAACGCAAACTAGAAAGCAAAGAGGTTTATTTGCGTCATATACGCTTTAAGCTACACAGTAATTATGATTATACATAGATTACAATCAAGAAAATAAATTTGCAGGCTGAAATGGACCAAAAAAAGGCAAAAGCCATACAGAAGTGCCACAGTGAGATGAGAAGAATTGAAAGAATTGCACAAGGAGCAACCACACAGGCGGAAAAAAATCAAAGAAATGAAGAGCTTAAAGTAACAGAGAAGGCTAGTAAATTTAGATCAACTGGGAAGCTTCCAGCAACATGTCTGTGCTTTTGAATCTAACAAGTGAAAGGCTTCATGAAAAATCAAGTTGTAAGAACTGTAAATACCTGCAGACTTTCAAGCTGTAATGTTACTGGCTCAAACTGAGAAAATTCTAGTATTTTGCACAAAGTGAATATGTTTAATTATTTGCTGATTTTATATTTTTCTGTTCCGTGTATTTTATCAAATGGTGATTTTCTTTTATGTGACAGACTCAATTATTTTTCCTAATATTATCAAGAGTTTCTGTTTTAAGTATGGAAGCACCCCTTTTTTACTGTAACGTTCGTATGCGAAACAATGTAAAAGAGAAGGAATACATAGATGCTCATTGACACACGGGATACAAAAGAAAAAACAAAAACGTGTGGCGAAAAACAAGAAATATTATTTGCCGTTAATCATGCCAAACTATAAAAACAAATCGAAAAAAGTCTCCCACAATAGTTGAAAACTTAGAGATAAATGAAGTTCTAAACAAATCACAAAATTAGAAATTTTAAAATAGCACAATCAATTTTAGTAAGAAATTCTACAAAATAATGGAAAGACAAGAATTAGCACTCCAACCATATAAATTGAAGAGGAATCTAGCATTTATACATCAAATAGCTAGCCGGTCTGGTACAAATTCACCCGTCATGCAAGAAAATAACAGGTCAGCGAACATTCAGAGAGTCATGAACCATGCTAGAGGCAAGATTCTCGATGTATTATTCAACCTTTGGGTATAAGCATGGCTAAACAGATTGGGCTAGATAATCTTACCATTTCCACCTTTGGATCAAGATAGAAAAGGGAAAAAATCTCAAGGAAAAAAACATTCAAAGCACCACTGAAGTGATTCAAAATTTCAGTAGTGAGATTTAATATTCAAACATGGCTAAATCAGGATGGATGGAAAACAAGTTATATCCAGTTCTTCAAAAACATCAAGTTACTGATAATACCTCTAACACAGAGGGGGAGGGGGGGGGGGGGGGGNGGGGGGGGGGGGGGGGGGGGGGGGGGGGGGGGGGGGGGGGCGCAGGAAAGGAGAGAGGGCAATAGACGAAAATCATAAAACATCACTGATTTAAGATTAAGCAGCAACTCCAACAGTCTTAAAGCATTGAGTTCGACAGGGATGCAATGTTTGCAGCATCCTTGAACATTTACACTTGCAACAAAGAAAAATCAACAACTTTTGATAAAAGCGATTATCACTGCATACAGAATTCCTATCCTACATACTGAAATTGAAGCAAGAAAGAAACTGGATCATGAAGTTCTCTAACCAACTGAACATAGTAAGGTTCAAGTTCGAATCTCTCTTCCCAGCCAATCCAAAGCAGGATATGCAAAATATAACACCAAGAAAGCAGGCAGTGCAAAGAGAACCGTGATTACTAAATACAGCATTAGGATGGTGGCACTGGCAGGTAGTGCAAATATGACGATCAGAAGTAGGATAACCAATGGAAACTTGGCTGTCATGTGAATGAAGAGATCAATGGATTTGTGAAGGGAAAGATGGGGCCTTTCCAAAGTGAGATTACCATTGTTATGGTCATGACTATCATTGCTGTACCCCGATTGTCCAAGACGATGAGTGCTTCTGTGGAAATTGTTGAAACAGTAATTCCCGACAACAGAAGAGCACCTTGTAAACCACACCTGATGATGATCTCCAGAAATTATGGAAGCAGAATTTACCCTGTCGCCGTTCCTACTCTCAACCATCCATAGAAGGAAGAAATTCTTGTTAGGAAACCTAAGATTACCCCTGTAAACCAATCGAAATGTCAACAAATTGCACCAAGGACAGGAAATGAATAACGGAATCTGGATCTGTTGAGCGTAAAACTTCAAGGCAGCCCATTGAAGCCCTAGGACACAGTTTTTGCATAGTGTGTGGCCACACCATAAGACATGGGGCACATTCTCAACAATGTTAAATGATTCCCAGCATATGGGGCATTCCAGTCCTTCCTCTGTGCTGGCATTTGAAGAGGTCTCATCGTCTGAGGAATCATGACAAGCTCTACCTAATTCAACAGTGCTTTTCTTTTGTCCAAAGCTTGAAATGGAATTCGATATAGATCTCCACATAATGGCATAGAGCAAGAGAAATCTTAATTGAGAAAAACTATCAATATTCTGCTGTTTGAGCTTCCCACTAAACAAGACTCATGAATTTTCAACATGAGAAAATGCAAGCTTCATAGTCATGTTGCTGAGTCTTAAACTGGTCCAATTCATGCTTCAATCACGAGAGGCTTCTTTAACAGAAATGAAACCTAAACGAAAAGGAATGGGATCAGCCGCGTGTGTCAATCATATCATTTCAGTTAAAGGAGCAGTAATTGACCATTTTATGAATTTTGTTATGAAGCAGTGATTAGCCGCTGGTTGTTTAAAATTTAGGCCAGTCAGAGGCCAAAATTTTAAATTTATAACTGCACTACAACTACTGCCCAACAGAAAGGAAATAGAGTCTGAAAAAGAATAAAACAGTAATTTTTGGCTCTGCAATAGCGGCTTAGGAACTTATTCCAAAGAAATTCTTATGCAAAATATGTGCAACTAAGTCTTTGAACTAGTGACATAGATGTGCAAGTCCTTGTACATATTTTGCAGATTCAATAATCTTAACGTGATTTTGAATTCTAGTAATTCCAAACCCCTGATGGAAGATCCTCACAATAAGCTATTAAAATCAACTCTGAGAAAACAAATTGAAGACTAGAAAATGAATTCAAAAGCAACGAAACATTTAATGTCAGAAATCAATCTTTCTCATTCACATATCTTTATTAAAAAACAAAAAGAAATCACAAATTCATGCGTTACCATTCCAAAACAAACCCTTGAATCCTCTCTGCTCAATAACAACATAATTCTAACATAAAATGCCTTTTAAAAAAAATCAGATATTCACTAAAAAACAATGTTTAAAGAAAAAATTACAAACTCATTGCGTAATAATATATAATTATGCAATTTACAAATAGATAGGCTAGCAATTATACGGAATTAAACGCATTATAATACATGATCGCATTGTTATTACCAGTAAAATGTATATTTCTTAGATAGATGTAACTTCATTTATATGTGAACACTGAATAAACTCACCATGAATAGCGACGGAGATTTCAACTTTCTTCTGGAAATTTTTGGAAGAGTAGAGATCAGAAGAGGGAGATATCTCTCTCTCTCCTCTTTCTCGGCGAATTGGAGAATTTCTGAAATCATAATTAATGGGAAAATGACAAGTTGGTCCACAAACTATTGTTTGTCTATCAATTTATTCCTTAATTTTTCTTCACAGTTGCAAAATTAATCCTTCCTAATGAAAACCATTCAAATATATAAATATACGTGAAATCAAATTTTAATTTTAACCTATAAAGAACTTGAATTTTTTTAGAATTATGAAGTGTACATTTCACGGTGTACATTTTTTTTTTACATTGCATGAGAATTCAAAAGGTGTGGGACAAAAAAAAGTGTTTTTTTAAAAACTATCCAATCATCTGTCGACACGTGATACAATGTCAAAAATAATATAAAACAAAAGTTACATATAGCATTATCGAAATTTTTATGGTATGTTTCTTGTAGAGCTGATGCAATCAAATAGGGTCCTATAGTTATAAGGATGCCATATATATATTTAATTGTTTATTATTTATAGTTTTTGTTCATTTGATTAATTTTTAAAAGATGTGATTTTTGATCAAATTAATTAAAGAGTACAATATCACTATCACTACTATATTAAAAGAGAGGATGGTCAAATCACTATCACATTGAAACTGGTTCTTCACTATTCACGATCTGGTTTTGCTACAGTGATTCGAGTCATCTTTGTTGACTAATTGGTATATATTTTCTTCATCTTCAGCCGTCCAATTGCAGTTGATATTTTATAAATATCTTCTCCTCAAACAACTCCAGATCATCGATTTCAATCTCCTCTACACCAACTCGACAAAGAATACTATTGATTCCTCACTTATGTTGAATAATGGAGAAATAATCTCAAATTTTTATTAAAATACTGTTTCTGAAGAAATTAATGAAAGATTTCAGGAGTGCAGCCAAATAATATTGGCAGAAATGGCGACCAGCTGCAAATTGGGTCGGACAACATATAGAGTAAGAAGAAAAAACTAATTAATCGAAAATGTTATTTTTAATAGAAAAAAAGGAGGGAAAAGCTAATGAATGCAAAAAAAAAAAAAAAAAACATAAAAATAAAAATACTGTGTCTTCGCATTGTGCGGAGACAGGACTCTAGAATGCAGCCAAATAACATTGGACTAGCTGCAAATTGGGTCGGACAACATATAGAGTAAGAAGAAAAATTAATGAATTGAAGGTGTTATTTTTAACAAAAAAAGTAAATGAGGGAAAACCTAATGAATGCAAAAATAAAAATATCGTGTCTCCGCACAATACGAAGACACGGGAGACACGGAGTCTCCGCAATGTGCGAAAAAGTGAGGAGACGAGGACGACCGTGTCTCCACACATGGTCTCCTTTTTTTTTTGTCAAAAAAATTCTACTTATTTATATTTTACATAAACTATAAATATAATTTCACTTACTAATAATTTAATTCAACAACATTAGAAAATATTTCATTCTATACATACATGAAAATCAAAATTCGTTGAGGGAGGCAAACCCTTACGAGGGACGCTGCCCCCTCGACCCCTGCGACCTGACCGGTCAGGTCGATCCACGTTGGAGGCGTTGCCCCCGAACCCCCACGAGGGACACACCCCCACGGGTGCCCCTCGACCTAACCGGCAGGTCGATCCCCGTCGTAGGCATCCCACAAGAGGCGTTGCTCCCTTAACCCGCAATACCCCCTTGTATCGTATGCTTTCAAAAGTTTCGTTTACTTTATCTTCTCTGTTCCACCTTCATAACGAATATGTGTTGCTTAATTACAAACTAGCAATTTGTTTTTCTTGTTAAATCATTACCATATGTGCTTGTAAATTTCAAATGTTTTTGTGAACTTAATTTGGGAATTTCTACCATGACAACATTGAGGCATATGATCTTCTTAATGACAAGGAGCACACGTGATCATAGCAGTCTAAAAGTACGGATTCTTTAACCATTCAAATGTAGTACTTTTTGTTCCTTGAAGTAATATTTCAATTATAAAACCAGTAATGTCTTAGTCGATTACTTTTAGTGACGCTCTCTTTTACTTCTCCCTATAATACTTGCAACGACTTATATATAAATGAGTATACCTGTAAATTTTTTCATCTATTATTGTCATTAAATAAAGTACATTACTAATTTCTATGCAGATAATAGAAACATCTTTCCATTTCTTTAGAGATCAACAGAAGTTTAGAGCTTCAAGGATTATCAGATAATATTTTTCATTATAAAATTTTATTAGATAAAAACTTACTGACTTTTCACAATAATATTACTATGATACACTAATATTACCTTAAAATACAAAATCCCGTACATTATACGAGCGTATGACTAGTATAGAGAAAAGAGGCACGAATAATTAATATAATAGTACACGACAGGTGACAATTTAATGAAGATTTGGATGCTTGTACTTATAATATAAGGTTTAGGATTAATTGCTATTCTTTGAATCTTAGGGACCAATTCCTATTCAGATAATCTATTTTGGGGACCGGTGTAAATACGATGGAGTTTCATTGCTTGGTCATTTTTATATGGGTTATTGGCGCAAAATCCCCTTGAACTTTATCCCTATTGCAAACTATTTCCTAACATTTCAGATTGACGAAAAACTCCATACATGACCTCTAAGATACAGAAGACCCCTTGCCGTCCATCCTCGTTAATATTGCCATTAAATCCATTTAAAGAGGGCCAAAATGAATAATTGTGAAATGGAATAATTGGAGCAAAACTCCCTAATCTCTGTCTTTATTGCTCCCCTATGGTTTCAGATTAACGAAAAATCCCTAAATGACTTTTTAAGTGAAAATAAAATCTTTTCTTTCATTTCTCAATAAAACCTAGCAAAATAATGAATATAACTTCCTCTTCAAATAAAATAAAATAAAAATAAAAAATAGAGAATAATTACAACAGTAATTCCAATTTTTTTTTAAAAAGTACAAATGAGTCTCAACCACAAATTTCAGGGTTATCAACTATATAATACATATTTACCCGTCATTCATGCTTTTCCGTCGAGAAATAAGATTTGAACAAAAAAGAAGTAGAAATTATGATACAATTCAAATTATAGTAGTATTTCTGTGATATAGTAAGAGTAAATTTGAACAGAAAAACTGGTAAAGTCTTATGATTCTTCTATGGCAGGTTTTCATGGAGTAACTCACTGCAGTAGTCGCCTTATGTGGCACAAACATGTCAAGTGTGTATTTGATGCATTAAATGTGATAAAAAAACTACCACATTAATGCATCAAATAACTACATGCCATGTGTGTGTCACATAGAGCGACTGCAAGTAGCATTACTCCTCCCTAAAACTCTCAAGAAAGACGTGGACTCCTGAACTTCAGCCGTGGCATTTTGCAACCTCTCTTCTGCCACTGACGCCTCAAAATCTACATAAAACATGTATTCAAAGTGATTGGCGCCGTCGTCTGCCACCATGATTGGTTGATTTTGGTGCGGCTACGATTCAAATTTCATCAGATTGATATTGCGAAAGTGGAGGACAGAACCTTGAACAGAATGTTTGTACCCTTTCCCTGTGTGACCACGATGCTTGCTTTAAATGGTTGGTCTGTGCGAGGAATTATGAGTTCTCATGATAGGATTATGAATCTCATGAGATTACTTGAACCGTCTTGGATTCCATTGGCCAAGATTTGGAGGCCACATAATTCAACAGCATGTAAAAGGTGACTACTGCCGGAGGTTGTTGGTGGATAATAGTTGGTTAGTGGTGATGGAGGAAATACAAGGAAATGGCCGGATAACACGACCATATTTTCATAATGGCCTTTGACCATTAAAAAAAAGGTTAAAAGTTAAATACCAAAATCTGAAAATACCCTCTTCAACAAAGTGTTTGAGTGGAGAGGAATAAAGAAAAAAAAAAAGTTTCACAA